TAGTGGGAGGGGAGGTCTTCCCTGCCTAAAACTTTGTCAGGGGAAACCAGTGGGAGACCAGATGTCATAGTTGAGTCTGACTTTTCAGAATGTTCTCGTTGCAAACATTTTCCTTTCCTCCACGGGGTTGGGAGGCTCCTGATCACAAGCAGTGTTCCTGTTTGTACCTGTTTACAGGTGATGGACTGTCGGCTACCGTACCCACAACAGGTCCTCCTAACCTTCAGTCCACACTCAGGCCAGCAGGTAATGCCTCTCTGTGACTTGGCCAGTGTTGTGCTTAGTGTTTTCTGAGCATCTTCTATGTGCCACATACAGAGTTAAGTACACTCCACAATAACCATATACCATAATCTAGTGGAATTTTTCCTTGGGATGCAAGGCTGGTTCACTGTATGCAAATTAATGAATGTGATATACCAGATTGATAAAATTAAAGATAAAGCATCATATGATCATCTGAATAGATGCAGAAAAAGCAATTGACAGAATTCAACATCCTTTCATGATAAAAACACTCCAACTAGGTATAGAGGGAATGTACCTCAATATAATTAAGGCTGTATATGACAAGCCCACAGCTCGCATCATACTCAGTGGTGAGAATTTGAAGGCTTGTTCTCTAAGACCAGGAACAAGCAAGGATGCTCACTCTTGCCAGTTCTATTCAACATAATACTGGAAATCCTTGCCAGAGAAAATAGGCAGGAAGGAAAAGACAAAAGCAATCCAAATGGGAAAGGAAGAAGTAAAATTGCCTGTTTGCAGATTACATGATCCTTTATGTAGAAAACCCTGAACACACCACCCGGGGTGGGGGGAAATGTTAGAACTAAAAAGCAAATTCAGTAAAGTTGCAGGACACAAAATCAGTGTACAAAAATCAGTTGCATTTCTTTACACTAACAAAAAAATACCAAACAGGTTATTTTTTAAAAATCCCATTTATAATAGCATCAGAAGAAATAAAAAACTTAGGAGTAAACTTAACGAGGTTGGTGAAAGACTTGTACGTTGAAAACTACAAACACTGTTGAAAGAAGTCAAATTAGGTACAAATGAATTAGACATCCCATGTCCATGGTTTGGAAGACTTGATATTGTTAAAGTGTCCACACTACCCAAAGCAATCTACAGGTTTAGTGTTATCCCCCTCAAAATCCCAATGGAATTTTTTACAGAAACAGAACCAACAATCCTAAAATTCCTATGGTACCATTAAAGGCCCAGAATAGCCAAAGAAATCTTGAGAAAGAAGAACAAAGCTGGAGGCATCATACATCCTGATTTCAAAATATATTATAAAGCCACAATAATTAAAACAATATGATACTAGCATAAAAGCAGGCCTGTAGGCCAAAGAAACAGAATAGAGGACCCAGAAATAAAGCCACATGTAAATGGTCAAATGACCTTTGACAAGGGTGCCAGCACACAAATGGAGAAAGGGTAGTCTCTTCAACAAATGGTGTTAGGAGAACTGAATATCCACATGCCTAAAAATGAAATTGGACTCCTGCCTTATACCACATACAAAAATTAACTCAAAATATATTAAGGACTTAAACATAGACCTGAAACTGTAAAATTCTTACAAGAAAACATAGGGGAAAGTCTTTTTCACGTTACTTGTGATAATAATTTCTTGTGACACCAAAAACACAGGCAACGCAGACAAAAACAGGTAAATGGGACTACGTCAAAACTGAAGAGCTTCTGCACAGCAAAAGGAACAAATAACAGAATGAAAATGCAGCCTATGGAATGGGAGAAAATATTTGCAAGCCATCTATCTAATAAAGGGTTAACTTCCAAGCTAAGGAACTTCTACAACTCAACAGTAAAATAAAATAAAATAAAATAAAATAAAATAAAATAAAATAAAATAAAATAAAATAAAATAACCCAATAAATAGACAAAGGACTTGAACAGACGTTTCTCCAAAGAAGACATACAAATGGCAACGGGTATATGAAAAGATGCTCAAAATCATTAATTATCAGGCAAATGCAAATTAAAACTACAGTGAGATATCACCTCATATCTATTAAAATTGAAATTAATAATAATAAAAAAAGGTAACAAGTGTTGGTGAGAGTGTGAAGAAATCAGAATCTTGTGTCCTGTTGTTGGAAAGATAAAATGGTGCAGCCACTATAGAAACCAATGTGAAGATTTATCAAAAAATTAAAACTAGAGCTACCATATGGTTCAGCAGTCCAGCTTCTAATTGTGCATCCAAAAGAATTAAAATCGGGATCTTGAAGAGGTATCTGCAGTGTTCATTGCAGTGGTATTTACAACAGCCAAGTTAGGGAAACAACTCAAATGTCCATTGACAAATGACTGGATAAAGAACATGTGGTATATACATGTAATGGAATATTATTCAGACTTTAAAGAACGAAGAAAACCCTGCCATTTGTAACAACATGGATGAACCTAGAGGAATTACTCTACGTGAAATAAGCCAGACACACAAGATAAATACTGCATGATCCCACTGCATGACCTCTAAAATAGTCAAGCTCATAGAACCAGAGGATAGAAGGGTGGTTTCCAGGGCTGAGGGGAGGGGGAAATGGGAAGGGGTTCAACTGATATAAAATTTCAGTTATACCGGATGAACAAGTTCTGGAAATCTGCTGAACAGCACAGTGCCTGCAGTTAACAATCCGATACTGGGCACTTCAGATTAAGAGGCTAGATCTCATGTTAAGTGTCCTCACCAAAGAAAGAGGGGAGGAGGGACACAAAGAAACTGTGGGTGGAGTTGGATGTCCGTTACCACGATGGCGGTGGTGGTGACGTCACAGGTGTTTGCACACGTCCAAACTCAACAAATTGCACACATTAAATATTTGCAGTTCTTTGTGTATCAGTTATACCTGGATAAAGCTTTTTTTTTAAAGGAAACAATACAATACTTGATTGCCGTTTTACGAGTTCATGAGATGAAAACAGGGCTGCCTTATTGCCCTATGGAGACTCACATGGCTTAGGCTACTCAGAGCCCAGATAAAGCCACCAAAGATCTAGCTGGAAACCAGAACGTTTGGCCGTTTAATTGACTGCATGTCCCTATGGTAAAACACATTTAGATTGCTCTTAAAAAGAGGAAAAAATCCACAGTTGGTTTAGTGGGCAACACTTGGAGAGCTGGAGTGGCCGAGCCAAGGGCGTACCCTCAGAGTGGCAGGCACTTCCACCCACAGCGCGGTCTGACAGCCAGTGTTGGAAGGGAGCGGACCGAAACCCCAACAGGACAGACCTGGGCCCAGCACCGGCTCTGGGCTCGTTGTGAGTTTACTCTCCCACCGTGTGCGGAGGTGGTGCCTTGGTGAACCGGCCTCTCTGTGTTTCACGTCCGCAGGTCGAGCGTTGTCAGCAGCCGTGCCCACCACAGAGCCGGCGACGCTTCCCACAGCTCCCACCCCGGCAGGTCAGTTGGCATTAGTTCTGCTGGGAACTGGGGAAGGGCGCCTTGGGCTGAGCTCTGGGCTGGCCCCTTCCCAGGCCTGACGCCACACTCGGTGCTGACCGTATCCCTGCAAGGACTCTCTGCCTCTGTAGGAGCAGAGTCAGGAAGTGACATTCAGATTTGACCTTGACCCTCAGGCTGGCTCTGTTTTCAAACCTTAGTCTTTTTGAAGCTGGGATTAGGGAATGTCCTAGTTACTGGGATGCCTCTTTTCGTCCCTGCTGACAGGTGACAGATCTGCAACCGTAGCCCCAAGGGAGCCTGCAGCCCTGCAGTCCACACCCATGCCCCCCGCAGGTAAGTCCTTGGGAAAATGGGGGAAGGGGTTAACATTTGTGGAGAACAAAGTGTGATCAGAGGGAACCAGATGCTCTCCCATAAGTAACGCTGCATTTAATGTTGTTAATGCTCACAACAGCCTGCACGCACTGTTCTCCCACCCCGCCCCCGCATCCTTATTTTATGAGATGAGACACAGAGAAGGTCAGCTTCCTAGCATCACCCAACTAGAACAT